TACAGCAATTAATCACTAAGAAGAATATATGCAGTGTATTATTTGTTGAAACTATACTTCCAATTTGATTCGCAACTGTCTCATTGCTATCTGTTTGTCAATAAAGCTTTGGAAAAAAAAAAGAAAAAAAAAAAAAAGAAAATAAAATCTTCTTGCAGCTTGTAGAGCACCTGAGGGAACTGATTAGCAGAGGCCTGAAAGACAGTTTTTTAAGAGCAGCCCCAGGAGGGACTGCAGGTGTGGCTCAGGGGTGGAGCACTTGTTCAGCTGTGCGGGAGGCCCTGGGCTTGATCCCCAGCACTGGGGGGAAAAGTGAAAGATTGTTTTGTCTTTTCTTTTTTCGAGACCAGGCTGGCCATAAACTTTTGACCCTCCTGTCTCAGCCTCCCTAGAGTGGAGATTACAGGTGGAGGCCGTGGTGTCCCAACAATGACTTTGTAAAATGAGCAAAAATGCCAGACGCATTCAAATCTTTCCATAGGCCCTAATGGATCACCGGGGGCTAAGGGAGTTATTCAGTCCATTTCATTAACTTTCATTTTAATGATAATCACCATTAAAATAGGATTTTTAATATTTGGCTTTAATGTAAACTTTTAAAAGTACTTTAGAACTAATCTTAACTTTATAGCCAGTAAATATAATTGACACATGCCTGGTGTGTGTGTGTGTGTGTGTGTGTGTGTGTGTGTGTGTGTGTGTGACTAAAAGGAAAAAAACTGCCCTAAAACATGTCATTGAGATGAATACTTAATTATATTTGACAACCTGAGTATATTTTAGACAAAATAACTCTTTTTGGAGAGTAACTGATCTCAAATAATACTAGGAAGTGACAGGTTATGGCCCTTGTATGAATTGATGAATAATTTGGTGGTCATCTAATACGGCTGACGCCTGTAAAACAACAGCTTATCTTCCCAGAGACCACCTCCCTGCTTCTTCTCCAACTCAGCCCAGGATGCAAGCTCCTTTCACCTTTCCCGCCACCTCAAGGAAGGCCCCAGTCAGCTCCTCAGGTCTGTCTAAACATCCCCCTCAAGCCCCAGCCCTGGAAAAAGGCCATAAAAGCCTCAGCCTCCCTTTGTTCAGATAAAGAGAATTCCTTATGTTCCCTTTATAATAAAGCCTCTCTCCCTTTTTCCTTCTGCCTGCTTCTCTGCTGTGACACCATTGAAAACCTATCAGGAACAATCTTAAATTGCATCTCTCCAAAATGATACGATTGGCCTCAGGCTAATTGATTAGTGCTCCACTTGGGCCCCTGTCCTGGTCTCCGGCCACCGCCGACCCCAACGCCCCTCTGTGGCCCCATCAGCATGAGCCTGTGGCTATGGTCCTTTTACTATGCATACAAACACCTTTAGAATGAGCTCTGCCTCTGACGCCTCCTGGTCCTTCCCGTCTGGGTCCAGGCAATCCCAAAGCTGAGTTAGAAGTTCCGAGTGCTTCCTGCAGTTCTCCGAGACTTGCTTCTTCCTCTCCTCGCTTTCCTCTGCACACTTTCTACAAGGCAGTAACAGATGAGTCAGGGTTTGACACCAAACACGCACTGCTCAGGAAACTAACACAGAACCCTACACTCTATCCTCGTGGTATCCCACACCTAGCAACGGGAGAGGAGACAGATTCTTTACCTGGTAGAGCGAGGGGCAGCTCCAGGTCCTGTGCACAGTCACAGCCCACACAGCTGAGACTCACATGGGGAAGGAGAGTCCCACTGTTTCAGTTCTAGAGGACCAAGCTCCCCTCACCGTTGAGACCTTACCCAGTGATCCGTGAAGCTCCTGGCTCCTGGCCAAGTGTCCCTATGGTACAATACACAGAAGACACGGATGTTCCCACCTCAGGGAAGGAGGGGTGTTTCCCCACCAGCAGAAACCATCATTGGTTCTCACACACCCCATATCCTTAAAGAGTCCTGGAAATGCTAGCCGAGGAAAAACCAAGATTTTTTGTTGTTGTTGTTCTGAATATTTTATTTTAAATCTCAGGTTTGTTGAAATACTGGAAACTGTTTTCAGTACTTTAAATGTTAAAGATTAGGAGATCATCAAAAAAATGGACATAATTTAAAGGTAATTAGAATGATTTCAGTAATTTGGAATCATTTTTTTCAGTACTGTAGATAATAAACATGATTATTGCTTTGCCTTTTGACCATGTTGAGTGTTTACTGCAGTTCTTTTCACTCTGTTCAAAAATTAACAAAGCCCATAATTGCATAGACTCATAAGCTTATCATATTTCCATTTAGTAAAAAGCATAACAAGCCCAGTGTAGAGGGGTACATCTGGGGTTCCAGCTATGATGGAGGCTGAGGCAGGAGGATCGCTAGTCCAAGGCTGACTGAGCTCACTTAGCAAAATGCAATAAAAAAGGAAGATAATGTAGCTCAGTGGTAGAGTTCGTGCCTAGCATGCAACGAGGCCCTGGGTTCAAATCCCAATGCTTAAGGTTTTTTTAAGTACAATAATACAGGACTAATATTAATATATTTATGTTCCCTTGTCCACTGCTCAAGAAAGGTCACATTTTTTTGCCTTTTGGGTTCATGAAAGATACAGTTAATGCTATAGTTCTATCTAATTTATAGATATTATTGACCCCCTACTCTACCGCCAAGATTTCAGTCTTTCTCATTGCCAAGGTGTCTGTTAAACTATGTCCACACCTACTCACATGTCACCTATATTATTCTTCTCGTTGCTGGGACAAATACCCGAAACTCGAGCTTAGGGAAAGAAAGGTTTATTTAGCTCACAGTTACTGGAGGTTGCATAGTTTAAAGCAGATTAAATTACATAGCAAGACCTCGAGACACCGCTGTCCCATGTTACAGGGTCGGAAGACAGGCTGGGGCGCTGCCCTGTCCAGGAAGATCCGCTCCAGACCTCTAGGAAAGGCCACCAGGCCTGGGGGGAGGAGTAGGGAGGCCATGCTGTGTCATGGTTCGCACCTCTCTGGCCCCGCCCTCAAGCCCCGCCCCTCAAGCCCCGCCCGGTCCTCTGGCCCCACCCCTCGAGCCACCTGTTGGTCCTCAAGCAGCTACAGCCCCATGATCTACCTGAGGCTTTGGGGGGACAACTACATACAAACTATAACATCACCTGACTCAGCGAAGCTGCAGGAACCAACCCTAGACACAATCATCTCAGTGTGAAAAGATAAGGGCTTGTGAGTATTCCTGACAACTTGCCTTATAATAAATTTTTAATGGAACAAACCTAAGTGTATATAGGAAACAGTGAAGGAATTGCTTAAATTAATTATTTCATAAATGAAATATAATGGGCCATTAAAAATTATAAACTGAAAATATCTACAACATATTTTTCAGTAAAAATAGTACAATACATAATGACATTTGGGCTAAATGATCTAAAAATCTGTTTCAAAATGTTCATTATAGCTTTTCTATGGTAAGGTTGTGGGTCATTTTAAAGTCCCTCTGGACAATTTATTGTATTTAAAAATTCACAATAAGTATGTATCATGTTCATTTCTCATTTCTTTGGCAAAGACTGGCTGGGTACCTACTATGCAGCAGGCCTCACTAAAGGTGCTAAGCAAGCAACAGCAAACCAGACCTATAAAACCCTCGTGCTCATGGACTCGTGCTCTAGCTGGAAAGATGAATGTGACAGTTATCCTCGACTGTTAATTTGATTGACTTGAGAGACAACTTGAGAGATTATTAAAGTGCACTTCCGGTATATTTGGTGGGTCATAAGGACTTGTCCTTGGGACCCATCTGGCCCCTGGTCCTTCCCTCACTGCTCTTCCTGTGCCCTCTACTTCCTCCACGCCATGAGTTCTGTAGCCTTCCTGTGCCAAACCCTTCCCCATGATGTCCCTGTCTTGGAAATAGTTGCCCGTGATCTGCAACTTCTGAAACTGTGAGCCAGAATATACCCTTTGTTCATAAAGTTGTGAGTATTGAATATTCTATCTCAGCCATGGGCAACTTGACCAATACAATGGGTACTGATCAATATGTTAATACATGTACCTCATACAGTATGCTATAAAATGACTAAAAAGATTTAAAAGAAAAAGGGGTAAGACATATTAAGGGGTAAAAATTTAGCTGTGGCTTTCTGAAGGGCCTCAGAAGGAAGGTGTTCTGAGTGAAAATCTAAAGGAAGCAGGGAAATTGTACAATATCTGGGAAAAAGCCTTTCAGGAAGAGGGACCAGCAGGTACAAAGATTTTGTGGTTCAAGAAGCACCAAAGAAGCTAGTTATCTGGAATGAACAAAGTAAGGGAGAGAAAGTAATAAAACCAGATTAGGAGGAACCGTTTAGGTCATGGAAATCCACATGCTTTACACTAAGTGAGAACAGAGGTCACTGGAGGGCTCTGATCTAAGATTAGCATGATTAAGTGTGTTTCTTAACAGGGTTGCTCTGGCTATATGGGGTACAGGCAAAAGCAAGAAAAGCACTGCTATGCACTAAATGTTTCTGTCACCCCAGAACCCAGATGTTGAAACCTTAATCCCCAAGGTGGCAATGTCTGTAGCTGGGGCCTTTGAGAGCTGATTAAGTGATGAGGGTGGAGCCTTCATGAGCGAGGTGGGTGCCCTTTTAGGAAGAAACATGAAGGAGGTGATCTCTCTCCACCAAGGGAAGATACAAGAAGCCATGCATTTGCACACCAGGAAGTGGCTCCTGCCAGGAAACACATCCGCCAGTGCCTTGGTCTTGGACTTTCCTGTAAACTATAAGGAATAAATATCTACTGTTTAAGCCACTCAGTCTATGGTATTTTTCATAGTAGTCCAAAAGGACCAAGGCAAATTTGTCACTAAAATTCAAAACAAATACTTATTGTGATAATCTAGATGAGAAATGATCATGGCCATGGGGTAACAATGCATAACAGCCAAAAATTAGATTTAATTTGAAGATACGTATGATTGATTACATTTGATAACCAAGCATTAGTATGAAAAGAAAAGAGAACCAAAACTTATAGCAAAAAATTTTACCTGATCAAAAGAACAGAAGATTTATCATTAAAGGAGCTAAGGGAACACATAGGAGGATTTAGTGGGAACACCAGGGGCTAAATTTATAATTTACAGAGATGCTTGCTAATAATTACATGGAAATGTCCACTAGGCAGTAAGATTTATAGACTTGAGTTCTGGAAAGAGGCCTACACTAGATAAGAGAATTGTGAATGTCAACTGCATTCTGATAACTTTTTTTAAAAAATGTATGTAGTTGTTGCAGGGTCTTACTACAGAGCTCAGACTTGTGAGCCTCCTTATTTCAGCATCCCCAGCACTGGGATTACGGGCATACACCACTACGCCTGGACTCTAGCTGGCTCAGCCCGCCCTGGGGGCAGTGCTGTTGCAGGCAGCCGAGTGAGATAAAAGTATTATAGGCAGTCAGACAGTCTCAAAGGAGATAACACAGAAGACAAGATACCTTACAACTGTGGGAAGGACAGACGCTCCTGCTGTGAGCCAGACCTAAAGACCAAAGAGCAAACAAATGCTGGTCTCCTTAAAGATTAGCATCCGGGATTGATCATCACCCTGAGGAAGCCAGGAAGAATCATTAAGCCGACTACTACTGGATGGCTACCAGACAAGGTCCTGTTCTACATTCATGCCTGCTTGCTACATGACTCCCTTCCCCATTTGGTCCTGTACTTAATCAGTTTTACCTGAGTAATGGTGCTTGTAATTGGTTGACCATAGTTTTGTCAGCCACCCCACATGCACCTAAGTGAGTTCCCATTTTCTCCACCTTAGCCCAGCATGGTTTTGCCCTATAAAAATAACCTGGAAGAGACAGCTTCCTGGGCAACCCGCTCAGGCCCCCCTTCTGTCCCTCTCAGACAGAAGCTTTCTTTCCCAATAAATATTCTACTCTCAACCTCCGTTTGTTCCTAAAATTCATTCTTCGGTTTTAGAGAACACAAACTCATCTAGGTCAGGTCAGGAATTTCACTTCCCCTATGTCAGTGCCAGTGATCAAACCACAATTCCTGTGCTTCCACACTCCCTGTGCTTGCCTAAGCTTGCCTTAGCAGGCACTTTAGTCTGCTGAGCTATCTCGCCAGCCTCAGATCACTCTGAAAGCCATGAGACTAAATGACATAAAAAGAGAAGAGATTCAAAGACCTGGACTTGAGCCAGTCTCTTCTGCTTTGTGTCTGGATGTTCCCGCAAAGCCTCACACACTTTTAGATAGGGCTTTTGCAGAGGTAGCTGAATCTAGAGTTTATGATTGGCTCACAGTTCAATGCTGAGATTCAGGGTGGGTGACTGCTACATCGGTCCTCTGATCCAGGCCTAGTCCCTGTAGACTGCACATGATAAAAGCAGAAGAAGGAGACTTGTTCCCTCCCCTGCATCATTTTTGCTGTCTTCCACCATCCTGAACTGCTGCCCTCTGCCATAGGCCACCTTGCCTTGGAGCCAGCCAGCAAGAGACTGAAGCCCCCACAAACTGTGAGCTAAATAAACCTTTGCCCCTTTCACTTTGGCTGTTGGGTATTTTTTGTCTCAGCATGGAGAAAAGTATAAATAAATAAATAAATAAATAAAATAAAAATAAAAAAGGAGAAAAGTAACTGAGACCCAGTCCGATAATTAGAAGCTGAAAGAATGAGAAAAACTGTAGAAGAAACTAGCTAGACATGGAGGACATAGACTGGTCATGCACCATGACCTGGAAACCAACGAAAGCAAGTGGTGCAAGAAGGGAGATCACCATGCCTGACGCAGCCGGCCGTCAGGTAGGGGAGGCTGGCCACGTATCTGGCACTGTGCTGCACTGGTGACCTCAGTAAGCTGCTCTCACAGAGCCCAAAAGAGAGAGAGCAAAGAAACTGGAGAGAGGGAGCTCATACATACGTTTGAGGAGAGCAGGAGGGCAGGCACCAGGAAGGCTGGTTTATCATTTTTTAAGATGGGATAAATAAGCTGGGAGTGGTGGCACAGCCCTGGAATCCCAGCACTTGAGAGGCTGAAGCAGGAGGGTCATTGCAAGTTCAAGAGCAGCCTGGGATACAAAGTGAGCTCAAGGCCAGCCTCAACTGCATAGCAAGACCCTGCCTCAAAAAAGACCAAACAAAAGACGGGAGGGATAAGTAAAATAAAGTACATATTAAGAGAGATAGTTAAGTCATACATAGAATTCTTAATATATATCTGAGGACCTGTCAGTTCTGAATTTTGTCTCCATACTCGTCCTTCATCAGAATTAAGTAGGAAAGCCTGGGCTCCATGAATTTCTACCTGAAGTGGCAGTAAACCCGATGAGGAAGGTTCAGCGTGCCCTGACTTTCAAGTATTTTTATAACTAACTTCTGAATAAATGCATCCCTCGGAGGGCTGCCCTGTCACTAGAGCATTAAACCTCTACTTAGAGGAAATCCTCAAATTATGCATGTAATATGCACTTGCAGCCCTAATCCATAGACGCAACCACACTTGGGACAATTCTGTGTGCTGAGATGCCCACTGTTGCAGGGAAATGAGGTCGGGGGAAGTTCTCAAGACTCCAAAGGTATTTGAGATTAATGGGGTTTTTTCCAGCTTGACTTTTACGGCCACATGATGCAAATCAGAGTGTGTGCAAAGACGAATCTTGCACACTGCATAAGCTGGCATAACTGCCAACAAACAGAGAAACACATTGCACTATCCTTACTGTAATTTCTCCTCCAGCTCTGCAATTTTCCTCATTAATTCTTGGTTCTCCTTGATTGCTGAGCGCGCCGTGACTTCTGTTCTGATTTTTGAAGTGGCAAGAGCTGCTGCTTCCTCTTTGAGTTCCTGAACTCTGTCTCTCAGTGAGGAGAGAAGAGACGATTTCCTGGCAATGTTTTCTTTGCAGCTCTCCATTTCAGCCTTCAGCTCTTGACAGCAAACTTCTTTAGAAAGCATCTTGGAACGGAGGTCTTGAAGCTAGCAGGAGAGAAGTGTAATAAAGGGGGGAAGGAATTTAACAATGGGCTATTTGGGATACTTTTAAGAAATTCAAAACCAGAATTTAAAGTCTTAACTTTTATTCATGCCATAAGCCAACTTTATTTTTCTTTTTGAATATTTGTGTGCATTACCAAAGAGGAAATTTTGCCTTAAGAGTGGGCTTTACGTTCTGTCTTTTTCAAAACCAATTGAGCAATGTCTCGGGGTGATTTGGTCTCATCCAGGCAATATTTGTGGTGGGTACTACAGAAAGCCATGAAGTATTTTGCAGTGCTAACGCATTTTCTATATCAGCGCTGCTGCTTATAAACAGTGATTCAAGGAAGCCAAAAGCCACACTCTGAGTTCTTGGCCACCACTGTTTCCCAAGGAAATACAAACTACTCAGTATTTTACTATATTTCTATAGACCATAATTGTGGGTGGTCTTATCCAAAAAAGATAATATTCAGATTTCTGGGAAAAATAAAAGAGCAAAGGAAAATCCCTTACAGCATTTATCCAAAGGAAACATTGTGATTTTTGTAAGTTCTGTGGCCATTACATCTTTGGGGTCATCACTCAGTGGGGTCCTCACAACTTCCACGACATTCCAAGTTACCTTCCGGGCCAGCTGAGGCACCTGGTCCCATGGCCCTGTGAGCACAGTAAGTCTAGGGAGACTCGGGAGACTCCATCCAGGTCTGATCTAGCCCAAGGGAGCTGGAGCACAAACATCGCACTACAATTTCCTCAGCCAGCCTGGGTTCCCACCTAACAACTCCCAACGGCAAGTGATCCTCATTCAGGAAGATTTTCCCAGAGAATCTGGAAGTCTCCCAAGCCCATTCAGCCTCAACCCAAAGTCTTCAGCTGTCCCCAGGTCACTCAGAGCTGCAGAACTTCCCTGAGGCCAAAAAATACAGGCCATATCCCCTTGCTTTTAGCAGGAATTTGAGAAAACATGCACACAAGAGGATAGGTATAAACTTGCCCAAACTGGGTCCCACAGTCCCATTTAGAACCCACCCCACCCCACCACCACCCACATCACCCTATAAGATGCTAGAAAGAACCATTTTTGAGCAGTGAAGATAGGCGCTCTTACCTCAGACCGAGCACATTCGAATTTGACCAAAGTTGCTGCAAGTTCACTTCCAACATTTTCAGCCACATTCCGGTAGTGGTTTAATTGTTCCCGAGTGACTGGGGCTTCCAAGAGATGATCATAGATTTCCTGGCAGAGTCCCCGTAAAAGACAAAAATACAAAGGAAGTTAAATATACCTTTCTGTGCAGCTGCGCAAAAACTGAAAAAGTTTTGTGTTTCAGATATGTTGGAAATGCTACCCAGAAATGTCTTGGGTTCACATCATTCCAGTCTTGTTCTCAAATTTCAAAGAGCCAGGAGGAAGTGAAGAAACTACTAATGCAGCTCCTCAGTGTGGTAGTGACATCTGGCATTTAAGAAGTGGCCTTTGGCCACCTGGGCAGCACAGCAAGACTCCATCTATTATGAGAACAATAGGGGGCTAAAAGTATTGCTCAAGGGAGGAGAACATGAGAGAGAACCTGAATTCAGTCCCCAGCACTGAAGAAAAATAAAGGGAAGAGGATGAGAAGGGAAGAAAGGAAGGGAGAGAGGGAGGGAGAGGGAGGGAAGAAGGAGAGAGGTTGATCTTTACTACTTAAAATATTCTCTTGAGTGGCGGCTGAGGGAGTAGCTGACTGGCAAGCTTACTAGGGTACTTGACCAACTAGTGGCACGGGCCTGTTGCCGAACCAGAGAAGGGTAGCAAGAACCACTTGGCAGCAATGTCAGCAGAAGTAGAGACTTCTGAAGGGGTAGATGAGTTGGAGAGAAAGAACCTTGTGGCCCCAGACAAGGAAAACTATATCAGAATGCCTGACCTATCTGAGCTCCTGAAGGAAGAGACCAAGGAAGCACATGACTGGGCAGAAAATACCCAGTTTGTCAAGGACTTTTTGAAAGGCAACATTAAGAAGGAACTATTTAAGCTGGCCACAACTGCACTTTACTTCACATACTCGGCCCTTGAGGAGGAAATGGACCAAAACAAGGACCATTCAGCTTTTGCCCCCTTGTACTTCCCTATGGAGCTGCACCGGAAGGAGGTACTGATGAAGGATATGGAATATTTCTTTGGTGAAAACTGGGAGCAGCAGATGATGTGCTCTGAGGCTACCCAGAAGTATGTGGAATGGATCCACTATGTGGGTCAAAATGAGCCAGAGTTGCTTGTGGCCCATGCATATACCCGCTATATGGGAAACCTTAAAAGGGGACAGGTGCTAAAGAAAGTGACCCAGTGGGCCTTAAAGCTCCCCAGCACAGGGAAGGGACCCAGTTCTACCAGTTTGAGAATGTGGACAATGCCCAGCAGTTCAAGCAGTTCTACCTGGCCAGGATGAATGCCCTGGATCTGAGCCTGAAGACCAAAGAGAAGATCGTGGAGGAAGCTAACAAGGCCTTTGAGTACAACATGCAGATATTTGATGAACTGGACCAGGCTGGCTCCATGCTGGCCAGAGACACCCTGGAAGATGGCTTCCCTGTACATGATGGAAAGGGAGACATCCTTAAATGCCCCTTCTATACTGCTCAACAAGACAAAGGTGCCCTGGGAGGCAACAAGTGCCCTTTCCGGACAGCCATGAGTGTACTGAGGAAGCCCAGCCTCCAGTTAATTCTGGCTGCCAGTGTGGCCCTGGCTGCTGGACTCTTTGCCTGGTACTACATGTGAAGGACCTGTCATTGCCATGCTGGCACCCTCCTCCCAAGTGACCATTCTGCCCGTCCCTACCTCCACTTCTTGACTACCACCTCAGGTGACTTTTAAAATGCTGGGCTTGAAAAAACAAGCAGCCAATAAAAAAGCCAGATGCTAAAATAAATAAATAAATAAATTAAATAAAATTCTCTTTACATAACTCAGATGCTATCTGACCTTTGCCCAGAACCTGAAGGAACAAAGAACAAGACAATTTTCATTGTCCTGTCTCCAGGCTGTGACAATGTCCCGTGTGTTCAGCAGAGATCAACTGTAAAAGGCAATCTCCCTTCGCAGCAACTCCATCAGCCTTTTACACAACCTCACCCTCTGTCCTGGGGCCTTAGAGGACATTCACAGAAGCCAAGAGATGAGACAGTAGAGGTCAGGGAATGCCCCACTCCCACACAAGGGACCAGCCATCAGCTGCGCTGCTGGCCACTAGTGCAGAAATGTGGGCCCAACAGGGTGTGGTGATGTGTGCCTGTGATCCCTGCGTGATTTGGGAGGCTGAAGAAAGAGAAGCGCTGTGAGTTCAAGGCCAGCCTAAATAAATAAATAAATAAACAGACAGACAGACAGATAAATATGGATTCCAGCCTATCAAAATAATTCCAGTTTTTCAAGATAAGGCATATATCCAGAATTTCTGAAGAAAATTTTCCTAGCTTTTGAAGTTTGACAATGAAACCATTTCCTAAACCCATGAGCCGAATGAACCTACATGCAGAACAGACATGGTGCAGATTGTAGTCACTACATGTGACCTCTGTCCTCCCCTTGCCTTGTGAACTGCCTTCAAGAACTTTTCCTCAGCCTGGACAGAGCCCACATCCACCTCTGTGACAGTTCCAATCCTGTGGTCTTTGTGAAAGACACATGAGAGAAATATTGGTTTTTGAAGAACTGTGAAAGACATTGTATGAAGGAGAATTTCCTGAAATACTTCTCAGGGGACAAAGCAGTAACACCACAGTGACTACGAGAGACTGCTCACCTGTCAGTGGCTACTGTGTGAAACTCTCAGGAGCACCCGACAACAAGCACTGCACTCCACAAATGCCAGACGAGACCTTCTGGGTGCTGAACAACGAGTGGCCAGTGTTTGCCAATCACTCACGTCTAAGGGAGATGTGTACTCCAGGGGAGAAAGCCTGACAAGCTTAATGAAGGCATTTACCACAGAGCCATGCCCATACAGTCCACCTCAGGAGTCACGGAGGCTTTTCCACTTCAACTGCCACAGCCACATTTCCTAAGTGAGGCTTGTAATGATATGAGACAGAAGCCTGATATCCCCAAGGAGCAAAGAGCAAGAAACAGGGCCCAAGGAGACCTGTAGTCTCTTGTAAATTCTGGCAATCTGTGATACAAGGCCACAGGTAACAGCCTTTCCAGGAGATGCCCTGTCTGTTCTCTGATCCTTCACCTGGGATGTTATCAGCTGGCATTGTGTGAACTTAGAGTTTGGTGAATGCCAGAAAGCAATAGAGATAAAAGTTTGTATTCACAAAATTACTTATGTACATTCCCTAGCCTGTTTGTAGCCTTTAGTAAATGTGAGAAGATTCAATGACTCAAGACTCACTTAGAGAGTGGTACTAAGCTCCTGAGACCTCTGAGGCTATATTAATCCAGTCTGACTGTGTTTCTTTCAGCTCTGACTGATAACATACAACAGAGGCCACATAAGCATACTGGTTACTTGGGAGTGTTTCAGCGATCATATCCAGAGCCCACCATTTTATGAAGCCCAACAAGTGCCTGTAATCCTGGCACCTAGGCTGAGACAGGAGAATCCTGGAAAGTTCAAGGTCAGCCTTGAGTAAGAGCCTGTCTCAAAAAAAAAAAAAAAAGTAAAATAAGTTCCCCAAAGGTTATGATGGCTTCTTTCAATCACATCTTTTTTCTAGGAAATGATGTAATAACATCATTATTTTATATCTGATTCTAATGAAAAATACTTACCTGTTGAATATATCATCAATAGCCAGACAAGACAATTGAGAAATGGCCCCTGGCTTCATGAAGTGAACTTTACTACAGTCCAGTGCAGAACAGCAGCCAAATCATTAGCATTTTCAAGTGTTCTTGGTGGATAAAGCTGATATTAAATTATATGACTGGGGTGTAGTTCAGTGGGCAGAGCATGGTTACCATGTGTGAGGTTCTGGGTTCGATACTCAGCACCACAGATAAAATATATAAACAAGTGTAAATACCCTCTGACCCAGAAACTTACTGTCCAATGACCTCCCCTGAAAGATATACATATGTAAGGATACACACCATTCTGTAATTAGTAACAGCAAAATAAAAAAGATGGGGTTACAACGTCAATTCCTGTTGACAGAGCATCACTAAATAAAGCCATTTCCAACCTATGCAGCAGGAAGTGTGACATAGATAATTATTCTAGGGTCCAAGATATATCACTGAATGAAAGTGAAAAATTATAGGCCTATAGTGCCACCCTTATCTTTTTCCTATCTTTATAAAATACACATGGGGCAACAGTGTCACTCTATATATGGTATTTCCTATATACATAGTTAGAAAGAAAAAAGGCCTAACAGAATCCACATTGCCCCAAAACTTACCCACCTTGGGTGTAACAGGGAGCGCTGGCATCGAGGCCAGGGCAGGGGAACAATGGTTTAATTTTTTTTCCAAAAAGCATGTATTTATATATTATTTGTACAATTAAATACAATTTTAGAGATAAAATACTGAAAATAATGATAACTGTAGTTATCTTTTCGTTATAGGGCTAGATTTTATTTTCTTTATTGTGGTGGATCGCCAACTGGTGGTCAACCTATGACACCCAGCTGTAACACGCAGCTTGGCGCTGGGTGTGCAGGGCCCACCTCAGGATTGCTTCCCACAGCATAAGAAGCAGAACTGGAGGGGAAGAAGAGTAGAGGCTGTTGGGAGCTGTTAGGGAAGCTGTTAAGGAAGCTGTGGGTTCTCTTGGAGGAGCTTGTCATGCTGGCTTTCCTGACGAGCTCAGCTGTTCTCATCATCAAAGGAGCTTGGGACCTTGTTGTCCCTGAGGATGGCTACAGTTCCCTGTAGGGAGCTCTGGTCCTCACGTGGAGCATCGCTTCCTGGCTCTGGAGGGGAAGATGGTGCACCGCCCATTCTCCTGAAGGAGTTTGTCGAGCTGGCTTTCCTGACAGGAGCTTGGCTGCTCTTGTCTCAGAGGAGCTTGGGACCTCACTGTTGCTAAGGGTGGCTGTGGTAATTTTCAGGAGAGCTCTGGTTCTTACTTTGAGTGTTGCTTCCTGCCTCCAGTGCAGAGCCCTCAGCCTCTGGCACAGATCCTCCTTCCTGCTGGCATAGACTTTCTAGCTTCCACCACTGGCCTTTGGGTCTTCCCAGTGCAGATCCGTGAAGGAGGAATGCACGAGACATTGTCATGGCTCTAGGCCTCCAGCTGGACT